TCTTTACACATGTACTCAATATTATACTGTTTTGCTTACAGTTTGATTCCCTTTGTTTGTGTTTTCTATCATATTAGTGTACTTACTATTGCCACAGGTGGAACAACAGCTCCATGGGTGATTAAATGATGAAATAGAGACTTGGTACTAACTGAGTAACTGAGAGAGAAGCTTGGGTGGTTTACACATTCAAATCCAACACCCCTTACCACTTTTTAAAAGTTGGACTAGGAGGATCAGACTTTCGCACTCCTCATTCTTTCCATATACAAAACTGAACACTGATAATAGGTTTAAAGATCACATAAGCATCAAGGCATCAGTTCCCCAGACAACGTTTCTTTGACCACCATTTCCATGTTCAGGTGATATATCCATTCTCAAGAGTATCTTTAATCCTTTACCTGTTAGTTCGTATTGGTGTAAAACATCATCAAAGGCCTTACAACCTTATGACCACCATCAAGTTTGTCAAGCAGCGTGACAACATCCATCTCCTCTGTTTTTAATCACATGGGAATATTCTAAAATGACATTATTTGGTATTATTTATAACAAAACATCTCCTCCTTTCTTTAAACAATGCCACTCCGTGAGTGTTTCATTTTTTTCAATACTAGGTTTCTCATATGAATCATTTATGCTTAGCCCACTTGAGGTGGCTTTTTGTCCAACAAAGTGGGAGAACTAGCACTATGGACATCTTTAGAAATAAGAGACTCAGAGAACTTTGTCACTTGGTTGGAAATAGCCGCATTCGTTGAGACAATATCAACCTAATGATCTGTCACCCAATCCATTGATATTCTTATGTACATTCTGTCATTCAAGAACAAACTTTCTCCTAGAAGTTGCGTAGAAAGCGGAAGAAGTCCGAGAAATTTTAGATTCATATAGTAGTAAAGTGTTGATTGATGTACAGATATACCATTGAAAAATCCAAAACTTCCCGGACTTTCGTTTCCTTGGTTTCTTCGGCTCCCAGACGCAACTTGAACGATTGTGTGTTGCCCTGCATTCGTTTGCGATAACTCAAACGTAGAGTGATTGAAATTAGTTGGAGTTAGAGGTGGACCTGCTTGCAATTAAAGTATTTTTTAATAAAAATGTGAGGTGGATTATGTTATCAATAAGATGGTGCCAAGTATAGAACGCACCAAAACATTCCCAAACCGTAATGCACGGTAAAATTTTCCAATTCTTAAACGCCAACTTCCGTAGCTTTTAGTAATGGCTGTTCCGCATATTTCCTATACTACCCGTGAACTCTTTTCGGTATCTGCCTCTTACGGTCTAACAGCAGAGTAACATTCCAGGAGAAAAAATAAGATAGGAAGCACATGGTCTTTAGCTATCTAATTTTGCTCTTACCACTTGAGATTAAAAATGTTTTCGAATTGAAAGCCCACTAAAGTTTAGAATATGGCTAGCCTAATTAATCTAAATATCATTATTGCAATTAAATTTATTAATTCATGAAAAGAAATGGTAAAATAATTATTAATGTATGTTTATACATCTTTACCTTTTTAATCATAAAAACGATTGAACTAGTTGTACAATATTAATAGTTGCCCTTAAATGTCATTTAACAAGTTAACAGCTGATTGTAAATAGCCATTTAGCCAAACATTATTTTACAAACTACTAATCCTATCAACTAATCAAAACAGCCAACTGAAACCGTTATTATCATTCTGCTAACACAATCAGCCAACAGCTAACAGCCAACAGCCAATTGCCAAACACCCCATTCTGTTGTTATTCCATAGGGAATAAGCATATATATATAGAGGCAGATGAGAGAGTTAGGGAATCCTAGTTATAAATTATAAATGTATAAATTATAATAATTGTATATACTATAAATTATACTTTAACTAACTAATATATAATATAATGTTTATAGTATATGATATATAAGTATACTATAATAAGATAAAAATAAGTATACTACTACAAGATAAAAATAAACTTATATTTAATACTTTAATATATATATATATATACATACATATATATATATATACACTTAATATATAAGTAGATATAATATAAGGAGAACTATCAAATAAGCCCTCGAGCTTACATAAAAAGTGCAAATAAGCCCTTTTATAGTAGGCTCTGTCCGGCCATCGCCATTTGGGGCGGTTCCCTGTGGAAATTTTTGATGAAATTTTTTAAGAATCTTATTCATTAAGTCTAGTTTACTCATACCAAAGTTCAGCTAAATATTCGATCGGGAAGGCACTCAAATGAATTTTTGAAGATAACTGCGCGGTTAAACAACGGAGTATAGTTCAGAAAATCATTTGACTGCCTTCTCGGTTGAACTTTTAGCTGAAATTTGGTATGGGTAAACTAGACTTAATAAATAAGATGGTCAAAAAAATTCATCAAAACATTCTACCGGAAACCGCCCCAAATGGTGACGGTCAGACAGAGCCTCCTATAAAAGGGCTTATTTGCACTTTTTATGTAAGTTCGGGGGCTTATTTGATAGTTCTCCCTATAATATATGTAAATATAAGTAGATAATAAGTATATTAAGTATATATTAAGTAGATAATAAGTATTTAAGTGGATGATGTATTTATAAGTAGATAATAAGTACTCCCTCAGTCCCAAATTGTAAGATATATTTACTATTCAGTTGGTCAACATAAATCATTCTTAATCTTTTACTTTATATATCAAAAGTTTATGAAATTTGGATTATTTATTGCAGGTTTTGTGACGATTTTAATGTAGTTTCTGAATATGTAAATTTTATTTTCTAAAACTAATTTGAGTGTTGACAGGGATCAATTTGCTTTATCGTCGGTCAAATATCGTATATCGTAAAGTATCTTACAAATTGGGACGGAGGGAGTATATAAGTAGATATAATAATTGTATAACTAATTTAAATAGATATGATATATATTAATAGGTGTAGAGAGAATTGGAGAAAATGAAGATGATTAGAGAGTATTAGAATGTAGGAAGAATTGGAGAATACGTGTAGAGAAATGTTTAGAAAACAGGTGTATTATAGGGTTTCTTTACCCCCACCCCCCAGACCCCCCTCCAACGGCTCTATAGCCGTTGGCAACGGCTAGGAGCCAGCAAGCAGCCCAAATCCAATTCAAAGGGAAAAAAATTAAAAATCTGGTTGTTAGGCCCGCAAGGACCGGTTTACGGTTTACAAAGCTCGGAGCCCGCCGTGTCATACCACCGGTTCGGGCCTCAGTCCCGGTCCCAGGCCCAGTTCACCGGGCCGGGTCCCGGGTCGGGCTGACCCAACCCAGTCCACCCCTAGCTCGATATATGTTCTACATTTGATTTTAGCCCTCTATAAACATCCTTGAATATAATAGTCTAGTTTATTTTCTTTAATAGGTTCATGCTCGAATTATTTGACAAGTATTCAAATCTCTAACAAAATCCATATTGATCACAAAATAAAAAACAACTATGAAGAAAACACCAAATTCAATACTGCTTTGTTAGATATTGATACAATTATTTTTCCCAGCTTCGCGTCAGCTTCCATGAAAAAATTAGCATAGAGTCCTAACAAACATATGTGTCAATCCATGATAAATTTGTAATGAATGTAATATAATAAAAGTTCGATATATAAAATCAGATTAATAAATAGAGTTTTGCTAAGGGAGGAATAGTAAACCCAAATTGTACTTCATCTTGGGACACATTACTTTTATATTTCAAACAACTAACCAACAAAATTTGTTACACGATATGTAGGTTGTACGCTATCCTAGTTTTGAAACAAAATTTTGAACATTTATTGTATGAAAAATAACTGGAAGTTTAATCCAAAATGGTGCAAGGATGATTCGATTCTAATTCAAACTACATTTTTTTGAAAAATCTGAATATTATTGTTTAAAATTATCTTAATGGGTTGAAAATTGGACCTATAATCTATAAATGTGCTATCACTTGAAACCGATACTAGGGATGGACCGGGACCAGGTCGAGTCAGGCTCCGGGCTGGGTTTGGGCGGCAGGACGGGATCGGGACTAAAAATTTCAGGCCCGGTACCAGTCCGGTTTGTACCGGGACCGCATCGGGCCGGGCCGGGCCTAAATAGTACCGGGTCGGGCCAGGCTCCAGGATGAGACTAGACCACAAATTTAAAAAATATTGCAATCGGGCCCCGGTCCGGCCAAGTCGGGCCCAAAAAACGAGCCCAAAGCCCGCCCTTATAGCCACTGGGCCAAGACCGAGCCTATACATTAGCGGGTCAGGCCATGCACTGCCCATGCCTAAACAGTATCGGACCCGGGCCCGGGTCAGGCCGACCAAGTCCATCCCTAACCGACACTGATTAATCTATTTGAGTAAACAAAATCCGCAGAAACTTGTGAGTTTGCATTAGTGTAACTCTATACTTGGCAAGTTGGCATTGTAATGACTTTATGTTATCAGTCCTGTTCAAAGGAGGCAGTCAAACTGAGACCTCGAAAAGTGCAGACATATATTAAACATGATCTGCTACTTGAACCAGAAACCATCCTGCAAGGTATATCATATCGGCCCAGTATAAGATATACCATATCACATACTCCGTATAAGATACTGTATTATCATATGCTTTTTAGGATTAGACCTCAAACCCTTAAATAATGAAGTTGGCAAAGGTATTTTTTTTTTGTTTAGTGCTGGGATTGTGGTTAGTGGTAAAGAGATAATGTTTAGCACAACTCCCATGGGTGCAAATCATGTAACTGTTGGGTTTTGGACTTGTTTTTTATAAATATTTTTTAATTTGATTTCAAACGTAACATTTTGTATAGTTTTCGGAGTACAATTTTTGGATAGTTCTTATCTGAAGTGTCAAGTTAACAAGGCTAATATAGTTGACCGTTTTGGTTCTTTCTTTATTTTGTTTTAGCCTGCTTGAAGAAATTGTAGGATTGGAGCATTCATTGGTCCCTTTTCTGGGTATCGAAACCTATATCACGCAGAGTCAGCACAGGATGAGGACAGTAAAGAGAGCATGAATCTGAGCGAATGTACAGACAATTATACATTGTTTCTGGACTCAAAGATGCTAATTTTAGATGTAATGGAGTCATATAGATAAATGCCAAAAGACAGTATTTAGATTTTAGGGGTGGGAACAGCATAGGTGAAGCTCAAGCATACTTACACGCCCAATGCCATGTTCCTTTGGGAGTTGTATATTTATGTTTTGGTAAAGGAGCAAAACAGGTTTAACAGGAAAAAGAAATCATGTATGTGAGTTAAAACTAATGTGTTGAATCACAAGAGCTACAAGCATAAAATGTGTCGTCAGTTTCTTGTTCTTTTATGCTGTCTATGACATGAGAAACTACTCCAGCTCCAGCATTATGAAGCCACTCACTCTTCACCTGAAAAACTCAACCCGAATGCTCAACATTAATGATAGTTCGAAACAAAGTGGCCAATATGAAGATATGATAAAGAAGAATATAAAGACTGGTTGGAGTCAACATACATGGATATTATTATGAGCAAAGAAGGGGAAAAGCGCAGATTGGAAGTTAATATCAACTTTCCTCCACCACAGTTGTTGCAAGCCGCGTATCATTTCCTCTGCCAAGGATGCAACCGTCCATGATTTTTTTAGGTACACATGTACTCAAAGATACGAGCATATATAGATATAGTATATAAGTCTACATACCTTCAAGAATATCATGGTACTCTAATGTGTTCTGTGTGGTCGGTTCATTTTGAACAGCCTCCTTTGCCCTAGTTGCTTCTGGATGGAAATGTGGTCCGTCAGATGAAACAGCAGGACAATGTACCACATGTACAACATGTTTGTAACCGTCTAGAGACCGTGTAGATGGCTGCCAATTGTTTGCATTTTAAACATTTATTTATTTACAATAAAAAAGCACATTGTTAAAACATATGTAGTATATAATACTGTCCATTTGGGGAGTTAGGTCTTGGAGGGGAGGAAGGGTGGAGTGGTTATTTTTAGTTTTCAAATTAAGAATACTAAGGGGGGTGTATTGTATTAGAAATTAGTGGCAAAATTTTAAAAGTCCATGGATTTTAAAAGTTTAGGTGTATTCAATGTGGACTTTTAAAAGTCTACAAAAGTCTAGGTGTATTCAATATAGACTTTTAAAAGTCTATAAAAGTCTAGACATATTCAAAGTTCCGTTCATTCTTATGGATTTCTAAAATCATGGATTCTCGTGGACTTTTAACTCATTTTTAATACATTAATTCTCTTCGATTGTCTCTTCTCCTCACTAAAGATTTCCGTGGACTTTTCTTATATCGGTTCTTCATCCCGTCCCCTACCCCACCCCGCCAACTCTCCTCTTCTTTAGCCAAGTCACCCCTTCCCCTTCGATCATTCTTCTTCTTCAGCCTAGCTCGCTCCACCCCTCTCTTTTCATTCTTTTTCTTCTTCAGCTTGCCCCACCCTCCTCGATTCGTTAATCTCATACTGGTTCGATTCTAAAAGTTTCTAGAAGAACTGGTATAAGAATCGATAATATACATCAGTGCAATTCTGGTACGTCGTCACTTAACCACTAAGAAAATAAATATTTTAACTATTACTTTCTTTCATCGTTAAATCGCTAACACGTAAAAATATAATTTCAAATTAATAAATATATAATCGTAAATAAGTACACAAAATTTTACAAGATAGAAATGAAAAGAAAACAATTATTAAGAAGATAAACTCGATTGCAACTGTGCTTGTACCACATGTAGCAATGAGTGTAACGATTAATATTCTTACTCATTAATAAAATGACCAAAATTCTTGAGCATTCTTGAAACTTTGAGTTTTTTTAATAAAAATAAATTTGGATTCTTATGCTTCATTTATTCTTGTAGAACTTTGTGTTGCAATATGAATTACATTTGTTTCATCTATTTATTTATTTGTCTATTTGTTTCTTATCATACTCTGTATTATACAGAGGAAATTATTCAGGGTAGGACTAAAACATACGGAGTAGCATTATTCTTAAAGTATGATCATATGTTTGATTTTCCTTAAATAGGACTAAATATTACATATTCGCCCCTAATTTAATTAATTAATATAAGTAATTGTCCATAATTTCCTTGCATAACCAAATCGATTTTGTTGGTGGCGGATCAGTCTGATGACGACAGCGGGGAACTCAAGTGACGGAGGCGGACAGGCAGATCGGTAGCGGCGGTCTAGGTGAAAATTTCGACGACCAGCAGTGGTGGTTCGCATTTAAAAGTCTATGGACTTTTTGAAAGTCAATAAACTTATCCATGGATTTAAAAGTCCATAGAATTTATTCATAAAAAAGTCTATGGATTTAAAAGTCCATTGACTTTTTTAAAAGTCCACGGATTAAAAAAAAAACCATCACAATCCATATTCAATACACCCCCCTAATTCTCTTCGATTGTCTCTTCTCCTCACTAAAGATTTCCGTGGACTTTCCTTATATCGGTTCTTCATCCCGTCCCCTACCCCACCCCGCCAACTCTCCTCTTCTTTAGCCAAGTCACCCCTTCCCCTTCGATCATTCTTCTTCTTCAGCCTAGCTCGCTCCACCCCTCTCTTTTCATTCTTTTTCTTCTTCAGCTTGCCCCACCCTCCTCGATTCGTTAATCTCATACTGGTTCGATTCTAAAAGTTTCTAGAAGAACTGGTATAAGAATCAATAATATACATCAGTGCAATTCTGGTACGTCGTCACTTAACCACTAAGAAAATAAATATTTTAACTATTACTTTCTTTCATCGTTAAATCGCTAACACGTAAAAATATAATTTCAAATTAATAAATATATAACCGTAAATAAGTACACAAAATTTTACAAGATAGAAATGAAAAGAAAACAATTATTAAGAAGATAAACTCGATTGCAACTGTGCTTGTACCACATGTAGCAATGAGTGTAACGATTAATATTCTTACTCATTAATAAAATGACCAAAATTCTTGAGCATTCTTGAAACTTTGAGTTTTTTTAATAAAAATAAATTTGGATTCTTATGCTTCATTTATTCTTGTAGAACTTTGTGTTGCAATATGAATTACATTTGTTTCATCTATTTATTTATTTGTCTATTTGTTTCTTATCATACTCTGTATTATACAGAGGAAATTATTCAGGGTAGGACTAAAACATACGGAGTAGCATTCTTCTTAAAGTATGATCATATGTTTGATTTTCCTTAAATAGGACTAAATATTACATATTCGCCCCTAATTTAATTAATTAATATAAGTAATTGTCCATAATTTCCTTGCATAACCAAATCGATTTTGTTGGTGGCGGATCAGTCTGATGACGACAGCGGGGAACTCAAGTGACGGAGGCGGACAGGCAGATCGGTAGCGGCGGTCTAGGTGAAAATTTCGACGACCAGCAGTGATGGTTCGCATTTAAAAGTCTATGGACTTTTTGAAAGTCAATAAACTTATCCATGGATTTAAAAGTCCATAGAATTTATTCATAAAAAAGTCTATGGATTTAAAAGTCCATTGACTTTTTTAAAAGTCCACGGATTAAAAAAAAATCCATCACAATCCATATTCAATACACCCCCCTAAATATATGGAGTATTCATTACCTTTTCCCCAAATTTTGCTCTTCTGGAATGAAATAGTACATAGGTAAACATGAGAAGAGATTTATAATTAATTGTACTCCGTAATACATTTGTATTAAAAAAAATTATTATACATATTTATTTTGATGTGTTTATTGTTTATAAATAAGGGTGTTATTGGTAAAGATTAAGATTCTCTTTAGACAAATTATGGTACAAGTGCATCTATTACTTAATTTACTTTTTCATTTAAGCACGTAAGGGATCGGATGCATCTATCACTCAACAATTTTGGGAGGATCTTGAGGAAGTGGTGCCACGAGTGCCAAGGGGAGAGAAACTGGTCATAGGAGGCGACCTCAACGGGCATGTGGGCCCAAGTCGTGATGGTTTTGAGAGTGTCCATGGCGGACATGGTTTTGGCACTAGAAATGAAGCGGGGAAGAACATTCTGGATTTTGCCTCGACATATGAGTTGGCTGTGATGAACACTTGGTTCAAGAAAAGAGACTCTCACCTTGTCACCTATAGAAGTGGAGCTAATAGTACCCAAATTGACTACTTTTTAGTACGGACGACTTGGAGAACTTGCTACACTGATTGTAAGGTTATCCCAGGTGAGAGTGCTGTCACTCAGCATAGGATGTTTGTGCTTGATTTTCGAGGTAAAAAGAGTGGACGAGTTAAGGTACAAGGGGAGCCAAAGATAAAATGGTGGAGGCTCGAGGGGAATCTCCAACAAAGCTTTGCACACAAAATGTTGGAGGAAGATGTTTGGTCTATTGATAATGACGCACACGTGGATGATGTGTGGTTACCAATGGAGTCCACCATTAACAAAGTGGCGAAGGAGATACTCGGAGAATCTAAAGGATGTCTGCCACCAAAAAAGGACACATCTTGGTGGAATGATGAGGTGAAACAAGCAATAAGGACCAAAAGAGAATGCTATAAGCAATTGGGCAAAAGTTGGAGCGACGAGAACATAGAGGAGTACAAAGAGGCTAGAAGAAGAGCAAAGAAAGCTGTGAAGGAAGCCAAAGGAAAAGTGAATAAGGAATTGTATGTAAAGTTGGATTCTAAGGAAGGAGAAAAAGATATCTACAAACTTGCTCGCCTTCGTGACCGTAGGACTCAAGATATCGGAAAAGTTAAGTGTGTGAAGGATGTCGATCAAAGGGTACTAATGGACGATGAAGAAATAAAAGAGAGGTGGAGGTCATACTTTGATACCTTGTTCAACGGGAATAAAGTCCAAGGTATTGATGATCTTACTATACCAGAATGTATGGTAAATAGGGACTTCGTGAGAAGGATTCAAACAACAGAAGTTAAAGAGGCTATGAGAAAAATGGGTCGGAAGAAAGCAGTGGGCCCAGATGGCATACCGATCGAGGCTTGGAGAAATTTGGGAGAGAAAGGCATCGAGTGGCTAACACGTTTCTTCAACATGATTTGGAGAAACAACAAAATGCCGGTGAGTTGACGGAAGAGTACTCTCATTCCCTTATTTAAAAATAAGGGTGATGTGCAAGAGTGTGCTAACTATCGAGGGATTAAGCTTATGAGTCACACCATGAAACTTTGGGAGCGAGTGGTTGAGCAAAGACTACGTAAAAGTGTGAAAATTTTGTAGAATCAATTTGGTTTTATGCCTGGACGCTCAACAACTGAGGCCATTCACCTTCTTAGACAAGTTGTGGAGAAGTATAGAGACACTAAAAAGGATCTGCATTTGGTGTTCATTGACTTAGAAAAGGCATATGATAGGGTACCTCGAGAAGTTCTTTGGTGGGCCTTAACTAGAAAAGGCATATCACGTAAGTATATCAGCATCATCATGGATATGTATGATGCTTGTACTACAAGTGTCCGCACTAGTGTAGGGAGGACCGCAGAGTTCCCTATTACTATTGGAGTGCACCAAGGATCTGCTCTGAGTCCTTTCTTATTTGCTTTAGTCATGGATGAACTTACGAAGTCAATTCAAGAAGATATACCGTGGTGCATGATGTTTGCCGACGATTTTGTATTGATTGATGAGACACAATCCGGTGTTAAAGCAAAGTTAGAAGTATGGTGACAAACATTGGAGAGCAAGGGTTTCAAACTGAGCCAAAGCAAGACTGAGTATATGGAGTGCAAGTTCGGTGGAGGTAGAAGCGGTAGCAACAGTGGGATTACTCTTGATGGTAAGGAGATACCGGTGTGTGATATGTTCCGTTACTTGAGATCCATAATTCAGAAGGATGGTGAATTAGATGGAGATGTATGTCATAGAATCAAAGCTGGGTGGATGAAATGGAAAAGTGCTTCAGGATTTCTATGCGATCGAGGTATGCCGACTAAATTGAAAGGTAAATTTTATCGTACAGCAAGTAGGCCGGCATTGATGTATGGCGTAGAATGTTGGGTGGTGAAGCAATGCCACATTCAAAAGATTAGTGTGACAGAGATGCGTATGTTGCGTTGGATGTGTGGACATACCAGAAAAGACCGCCTGAGGAATGAGGTAATCAGACAAACGGTGGGAGTAGCACCTATAGAAGATAAGATGCAGGAGTCTCGTTTGCGGTGGTTTGGGCATGTGCATAGAAGACCGAGTGATGCACCTGTTAGACGACTTGAGGGGTGGGGAGAAGAGTCAGAGAAGAGAGGGAGGGGAAGACCCAAACAGACTTGGATTAGAGTAATCAGAACTGATATGCGTCTTTTTGGGTTGGATGAGAGTATGGCTTTGGAGAGAGCAAAGTGGAGAGCGCACATCCATGTGGACGATTGATGTCTTGTCTACCTTTCCTCTCTTGTTTCTTTTATCGTTTATCTTCCTTATCTTTTTATATTCTTATGTTATTTTTATCCTCTAGCTTTTTTATGTTCTTTTATTTATTTTTCTTTTATCTTGGTTATATTCTTGTGTTATTATTATCTTATATTTATGTATCTTTATTTTATTCATTTTATCTTACTTTTTTTCCTTTTCTTGTCCGCCTTCTCTTTTTGGCATCGATATCATAGATCGATTCATGTTAGCCGACCCCAAATTCTTTTGGGATTAAGGCTTGGATGTTGTTGTTGTTGTATTTAAGCACATAGGGTTCACTATGGGTCATCCGGAAACAGTCTCTCTATGCTTTAGTACAGAGGTAAGACTGCGTACATCCGACCTCCCCTACCCCACCGAAGGTGGGAGCCTTTGGGGTACTGGGGTAATGATGATGATTTAAGCACATAGGGTATTTCTATGAAAAGCACCAATCTACTTCATTAAAAGGCGTCTTTTCCATTTTCCTGCCAAACGCACTTTACATAAGATGTGACTAGATGGAAATCTTGTACTCCCTCTGTCCTAGAATAATTTCATACTTTCCTTTTTCGTCCGTCCCAAAATTATCTCTTCTTTCCTTTTTTGGCAAAGAATTTGTAGTTCATAGCATTTCTTACACATTTCTCTCTCCTCTGCACAACTCTCCACCACACAATATCCACTATCTTAATATGTGTGCCATTTGTACTTTAGAAGATAAATTTGGGACGGAGGGAGTATGACTTTCTTAATATGGGGCATGTTGATTTAGCTAAACTGAACAGATAAAAAGGACAAGAGGAAGTATATATGAACATAAATTACACGAAATGAACACTGACAAGAAACAAAGCAGGCATGGAATAGCCTTGTTCATATGGATATCTATTCGTGATATGCAAAAAATTACCTCAATAAGTTCGGTCTCCCTTCTTATGGAGGAAGTGCGCCAGCCAACCATATCTATGTTATGTCAAAGAAATTCTAACTTTTAACTAATTATCATTAGCCAAACTCTAATCATTCAGCTGATTAATTTATAAAGGGAAGGCAAGATCAGGATACGGTCATAACAGATGTTAGCATAAACAATGCGGCATCTGAACCCTCCAAGTGCTGATCTGCACAGACAGACACATAAAATTAAGTACAAAAAATTAAAGTGCATAATACTCCCTCTGTATCACAATAAGGACCTGTTTACTTTGACGGTTAATGTACTGCTAGCTTACTAAGGCGTATGAAGTAAACTTTTTTTATGGCTAATTCCATGGCTAGTAAGCGGAAAGGCCTCAGTAAGCACCGATTACTAAACCGACGCCCCCCCATGTATTATTTAATCATTGAGTTAAGCTATTTTTATTGACCAACATGTCCCTGCGTTTTGCAATATCAGCTTTTTAATAGTCAAATTTTTAGGAAATAAATCCACCCCAAAAGCAGCTACAGTACACTTCAATAAAGTTAAAGGTACTCTGCAATACCAAAAATCTCCTGCTTTTCCAAAAATGTACAGTAAACCTATAAATTATCTTAAATTAAGAAAAAAGCCTACTGTACACTTATTTTAATATGGAGAGAGTCATAAGTAAACTCTTTGGGCAACACTAGGTACTAGGGGCGGGGCGTAAAACAGGTAACTATATCAACATAAATTAAAATTAAAATTATAACCCCATATCATTTTTCTCTTTGTTTCTCTTATAGTAATGACCTAATGCTTTTCATTGCTTTCCTTTACCATCCAAACATTTTTTCACTGTTCACATGCTATCATTCACCTCGTCATGTCCTTTTTTCTACTACATTTCTTTTATTAAAACCTTTCAAATTTTCAAAAGGTTGTAAGTTTTCTGAAATTATTAAAGGCTTCCGTAAGTCCGTAACTCCCAGTTTTCCTTGACCCCGGGTCTTCATGAAACACCCTTCCTACCATTAGAGGTAGAGAAGGCCTGCAATCATCTCATCTCAGACCCTACTTCTGAGTGCGACTTACTGGGTGTGTTTGGTTTGTTTGGTACTCCCTCTGTCCCATTTTACCTGTCTTACTTTCCTTTTTGGGTTGTCCCAAAATAAGTGTCACATTTCCTTTTTGAAAAGAAATATGTGGTTTACAACATTTCACTTTATTATAGTCAAATCTCAACCACAACTTATACTTTTTCAACCACTTTATTAATAATTGTGCCAAACTAAAGTAGGACACATAAAATGGGACGGAGGTGGTATTAAATATACTTTTCAAGCCTGAAATAAAACACAAGCAACTATTTTAAAACAAAGCCTTATAAGTGGTGGGCATGTTCAGAATCATCTTACTCACATAAACTTTCCATCTTCACAATCTGATGCCATTCTTAACAGAAGAGGCGGTTTATCAGGTTCTTCATCAGTAAGGAAGAGCTGGCTACCAGTTTGACCAGCAAAAATGGGAGCTATTGGTGCAGCAAGTTTTTCCAATATGGAGAGACCAAAGAGAAATGGGAGCTGAATCATAAAAGAAAATCAACTGTCTGGATATCAGAATCAACAACTCCTCTAAGATTTTAATCTTGCCATGATATTAAACTATGTAGTATAATGGTGTGCATTAATCAATCATATTGGAACAGGATAGCCTAAGGGGAGACTAGGTGCACCGGTTACGGTGTTGCTGTGTGACCAAGAGGTCACGGGTTCAAGTATTGGGAACCAAGGGAAGGCTTTCCCCTTATACACACATGTGGTGTAACCCTTCCCAGGACCCTCGCCATGCGGGGATGCCAATGTGCACTGGGCTGCCCTTTATTGGAACAAGATAGCCAAGAGTTGAACCCAAATTTGGCAAAGTGCCCTAAGTACTTATTCTTGAGATGGTTGTGGAACATAAAAATTGGTAGATTTTACAATTATGATCCAATGACTACCAGATCATTCCCGCTTTTGGTCCCGACTTCCATTTCTTCCATTTTTGGTGCATGTCTGATAATTTCTTGCTGATTTTGGTCCTTCAGGTTACTTATTCAGTGAAAATCAACCGGGACCACACAAAAACTGATTGGGTAAGTATACAGAAGGACCAAAAGTGACAAGAAATCCATAGTTGTGTGCACCAAAAGTGGAAAAATGAAAGCCAAGAAAAAAAATGAGATATACCAAACAGTCGTGGAAGGCAGGGTGGAAATTTTTCTATGAAGATATGGTCAGCTGAGAAACACCTGATTCTTGCCTCTCACACCAAGATGTGGGGTTGCTAACGTAATAAAACTTAAAGGTTCCAACTCAGCAATCAATCCTTTATTTGGAGAGTACAATGGCTCTTTATTTACATCAGACACGTCACTGGATATGACCCGAGGAGTGTAAAGAGCACCAATGGCATATCTTGCAATCAGTCCTCCAAGAGAATGGGCTAGAAATGATATCTTTTTCACACTCCTCCTCTCTTTCACAACTAGCATGATCTGTCCACAAACAAGATGTCATAAATTCATAATAGCATACTACTACGTATTACATAACTCATGATTATAATAATAATTACAAGGAACAACATGGCTAATCATGATTTCAGGGACCACAGTGAAAATTTTCCAAATCTAATTAAACCATGACTCCATCTTTGATCTCCTTACTTCTTCTGCTAGTCGTTTTCCAGCCGTATCTATCCCAGTAAATGTTTTTGTGTAGGTGTTACAGGAACTTGCTGCACGAGTAAAACAATCCAGATGTTAACACTTATCAGAAAGTAAACATGTGCATCTCTTCGTGGATAAAAGAACGCTTTTCATATCAATAAACTAAAGTGGATTCATATTGATAATCAAGAAACTAAGGGTCTATTTGGAGACATGAATACTGGGGAAAGAAAAAAGTGTGAAAAGAAAATTCAGGGGGAAATAAAAAAGTAGCCTCGGTGTCTCGATTTCAATAAATTTATTTTAGAAATTTGTTCCAATCATTTATTTATTTATTTCTATTATGAAGACAAGGAAATCTAAATATTCGTAAAGTTTTAGAATGATTGGTCATTTTGGAAACTCCCGATTTCCTTTTTTCTCTACTGTACCATTTCTTTGGATTTAAATGAACCCTAGATAATTCAGTTGTATCATACGCGAGTTGTTTTAACAATAACATTTAAAATGGCAGTTTTTCACAACAATAAATCCAGTCAATAAAATAATAATACCATATATTAAATAATTTATTCCGAGTTGCCTCTTCAGCTCTGCTTGTACATAAGTCCAGTCACCCGGACTGCATCAAATGAAGAGCTTAGTAAATGCATAAATGGAAAATGCTCGAGTTCTGATTCCTATGCAGAACGTATAATACATCTAAGAGAAAGGAATACTGTCATAATTACCAGTCCATAATTCCTTTAATGGTTGTGCCAGAAATAAACATAGTAGTTTTTCTCTTTCAATTGAGAATACTATTTCTTATATTGTTCTGTATTCACTAAACCTAGAAACAACCAACCACCTCTGATATACGGATATACCTTATGTTCCTGATGAAAAACCCTTTTTAGGTGTATCTTCATGAAGCTTAAACAAACTACAGAAAAACAAAGTGAAAAATATGAATACTTTTAGTGTGTGTTAGGGACACCTGAAAATTTTAGATTATTTTAATTATTTGATTAGTTGTCATGTAACCTAATATAATTTCGGTTGTGCTTCCTGAAGAGTTGTCTGAAAACAATTAATTTGGTTTTGATGCAACAAAAACTAGCTTTTACAAGGTAAGCTAGTGCGAACCACTGAAAGAAAACATAAGCTCTTTAAAAATGAAACACATAAACTAACAATTCCTAACTTCTAATAAAGCAGCTAAACAGATACACAAACAAATTGTTGTAAAGAAAGCAGAATGTTCCAAATGTGATTAAATTTCAAAAACAACAGCAATTTCTAGAGAGGAAAGGAGAAAATAAAAAAGAACAAGCTGACCCAAACAAGCACTTAATTTCCACTGGCCAATAAGAATGTATGCATCATCATCATCATTACCCCAGTGCCGCAAAGGCTCCCACCTACTATGGGGTAAGGGAGGTCAGCTGTACACGGTCTTACCCCTTTACTAAAGCACAGAGAGACTTTTTCCGAATGACCAATAGTGAAAATCGCGTCGAAAAATACATGGACTGACTGTTGCTTCACAATAAAGAAGCGCAGACAGTTTAGTGAGCCATTTTACTTTATTTCATCATATTCTCAAGCCAAAAAATAGTAAATCTTTGGCTCCATTGAAAATGATGGAAAACCAATAAGAATGTATGCAAATGTGTATATTATACATGCAATTCAAAAGCACTCTTTCTTCTACATGTGCACTTTGTTACGATTCTTAGCTGAATCCCCTCAAATAGATAGTTAAAAGGATTTTAGCATAGAGGAAAACTTACCTTCCCATGATGCCGTGAACAAGGACAAGAAGATGTTCAGGCTCGTATTCCAAATCATTTGTGCTACTTTGCGATGCAATGCATCCTTGAGTTGTATTCATAGCAAAAGCTTTAAGCCTTAGACTTTTCCACATATTGTTCATGTCTGCATTAATAAAGTATGACCTTATTTTCCACATATGTTGTATTCACGTAAGTCTTATAAATACACTATCACAAATAAATTGCTTAATGGTTCTATAATCAAGTTAGATTCTGTTCATTCCCGTGCATGTGCTTCACACTACCTCTCCTTTCATAGCATCAGGTGGTTAAACATGACATCAACCATAGCATTTGAAATTATTTCATCGATACCATACCATTGAGAAGCAGAACGGGTTATTTGTGAAGTGAACAGTCCACATCAAATTATAGAGTATTATTATGCTTTACTGTTATTAGAGAGGTAAAAATAAAACAAGAAAGAGTTGAGCACTGTCTAGCATAAAAATATGGAACCTTACCCAGAAAACAAAAAAAAACATGAAGCACGCATTCTACAGCACGACATTATGTATATAACCCGTAATCTTGTGATTAATGATACCTTTATATTTGGACAACTATCAAAGTAAACAAATGTTACATAGCCTGGGAAAAAGAACAAAGATGGAGTTGTATACTTTTCGGTGAACTTGCATCCACAAAGATTCGAACTTTTAATAGCAACTTCGTAGTCAAAGACAGAGAATGTACCGCGGAAAAAGAAAGGTACAACCATTACAGAAATCAAATGTTAATAGCCCAGGTGAAAAGAGAGGGAATGGGGGATATATTTTAGTAGAGCTTCGGTTGACTAATAGGTTTACATTCAATTATCAATCATAAATGTTCAAACTGTTTAATAACAATTACATACCTAAGAGATGCAATATACCATGAATATCTTGTTGAGGAAAAAATAGGCACTAGCACAGCCATATTTTATAAAAAGATATTGAACAAGGCTTATAGCCTGAAAATGGGGCAAAATTGAATAAAAGCAAGAGATTTACCGGAAAGTCTGATGAATTTTGGGCGAAACCCTGAATTGGAAGAAGGACGCGAAGAGCAATAAGGCGATGAGGAGCAAGAACTAGTATTAGAAGTCGGGCTAATGCGAAGAGGAGAATAATGACAATGCAATGACGCCATAAATAGAAACGCTTACACACATGTACCAATATATCTTTATTCCTCCGTATATTATTGCCGTAGGGAACTTAACTAGAGGGGAACACAAAAAGAAAATATAAAAGCAAAAAAGATTGAGAAAGTCACTTTGAGAGATGCGAATAGAATGCCGGTTGAGACCTTCAGACTTCCATTTTCGTCTTTCTCGACCTGTTTATACGAATAGGTAGGGAAAATACAATCTGGGTTCGGGTCGTGTATTATTTGCGGTTTGTTTTTTCTTGGTATAGGAATTACGAAATTGCGATTGCTGCTTGACCACATTAATGTATAGCCAGAAAATATGAGATATTGAACAATGCGGCGCTCATCTGCCAGTTGTTTTCCGCGAGTAAAGGAAATTGATATTGCTGTTTCGCCACATTAATTTGTACTCGAGAAAGTAGGGGAGAAGAAAATAATGCAGGCAGCCCTGCCTGCCTGCCTATGATATCGATAGATGACTATTAAAAAAATTTCAGTAAAAGAAACAATCTCCATTTGAGTCCGGTCAGGCTTTCAATAGTTGGAACAAAAAAAATTAAAATATATTTTATTAATAAAATAAAGAAAAAATTATATCAAAAATAGTCAAAAAAGTAACTGCAATCTTATTTATTCTTATTATTACACAATTCAGCGCGTGAAATCAAAAATTACGTGTTTGGTTAAAATACAAAGTTGGCGGATAAATCTGATAAGTCGAAAAAGAGAGACACCAAACGAGCTCTTAATATGTTCTCTCCTCCCCAATCTTCTACTTACTTCATTCTATTTAATAACATGTTATCGGTATTATTAGGTTAATGGCCCAATGGGGGTTGGCCCATAAACCCTTATCCTACGGACGTCCGGAGAAGGACCAGGGGATGTACGTATCCTAGCGTATGTAGGTACCTTGGCCCAGGAGCAGCACGAGACGCATGTCTTGAAGGACTTCGGCAGGAAACAATAGGCAAGCAAATGGGGACGAACGTCCCCAGAAGGTCCAAGACAACGGGATACCCTTCCCCATCATCCGGGGGACGTACGTATCCTATCGTCGCGGGTACCTTGGCCCAGGAGCAGCACGAGCTGCACGTCTCACAGGACTTCGGCAAGAAACGGGAGGCAAGCTCATGGGGACGCACGTCCCTAGAAGGCCCAAGACAACGGTATACCCTTCCCCATCATCCACAGGACATACGCATCCTAGTGTAGCGGCTACCTTGGCCCAGGAGCAGAACGAGACGCACGTCTCGCAGGACTTCGCCATGAAACAGGAGGCAAGCTCATGGGGACGAACGTCCCCAGAAGGCCCAAGACAACGGGATACCCTTCCCCATCTTCCAGGGGACGTACGTATCCTAGCGTAGCGGGTATTTTGGCTCAAGAGCAGAACGAGACGCACGTCTCGTAGGACTTGGCACTACACCAAAATAGACTTTTTGTAACGGTTTCTTTGTAACACTTATATTTGTGTTACATATAACATTTGTAGTTTGAATTATGCAACACTTAAAAATAAATGTTGCTTTAACTTCTAAAATTTAAGATTATGTAACATGTAGCAAAAAGCGTTACATATGGGTAAGTATTATGTAACATTTATCTTTAAATTGTTACAATAGCTAATACGAAGATAAATGAATAGTGTTAGTGTGAACCGTCAATTTTAGATCTGTACTCCATAATCCGTATGACCATATCGCTTAAACCCCTGGTGAATTTTATTTGAAACCCTCCCCTCCTTTCTCTTCCCCATTTTTAAATCTCCTCTCTATCTCTTCTACGAAGTACATATTTTCTAGGGGTAATTTGAATTTGCACCCCATATTATTGTCTAAATTAGACTTTGCACCCCGTTTTTAAAAATCTTTGTTTTTGCACCCTAATCCTGATCGAGGGCATTTTGGTCTTTTCATATGGGGTTGGGTGCAAAAACAAAGATTTTTAAAAATGGGGTGCAAAGTCCAATTTAAACGATAATATGGGGTGCAAACTCAAATTACTCCTATTTTCTACGGTTCCAACCATTCTTTTCCTTTGATTTCCTGGAAATGAATTGAGCACGAGGACGAATCAATTGACCACAAAGACGAAAATCAGAGGACCAAGAGGAGGAGAAATCTGCCGCTGCTGCTATGGAGCACTGAAGCACCGACTAAAGCCACTACTGCCGCTAATTAGCATCGATGAAACCATCGCCACCGCTAATTCGCGCCAGCAAAGCCACCACCGCTACTAATGAGTTCTATCGCTGCCATCACCACCCTTTTCTACCTCTTTCGTTCAGCCACCACCACATAAGGTGTAATAACTCTTCTTTATGTTAATTTATTTGGTTTTTTAATCCAAATATTATGTTTAATTTTTGTTAGTGTTGTTTATTGGAGTAATATATTTCCTTATTCTGTGTACATGGCATTCATGATAGAATGTTTGCTTGAAGTATTGTATTCCATTTTCATGTCCATAAGGTGTTCGTTAAAATGCTACAATGAATTATTAGCTGAATATTAAAAATTGATATATAACTGCTTACATTGTAATCACGAATTAAAATCTCAAGTATTAACTATGGATTTTAAAACTTGTGTGTGTGACTTTATTTTGTATAATTTGGTAAATCTTTGAGCTTTTAATTCTAATTTTGGAAAATGTAAAACTTATATGCTCCGTTATTCCCACTTGTACAAACTGCAGTCAACAACCAAATTGGAGCCAACAATCTAAAATGAAAATTGTTAGAGCTTTTAATATATATGAAAACAAATACTTTAGAAGTCAACTAAAATAATACTTTTAATATATGAAGAGTGAAATAACCACAAAAAAGTAAAACTAAATATGTTTTACAATACTGTAGCATGTTTATATTATGTTTGTAACCTACACACACAAATATATAAATGTTATTGTTAGTTATTTCAAATACGCTTGGAACATGGCATATGAAATCAGTATATTTAGCAGAAAAATGACATTACCTTTTTGGTTTAAATTGTAAAAATGTTTGCTGGCAGCTTCCTCTTTTGATTGAGGACATACCAATAGCAAACTGGTTATAAGAATAATGTTTTAATGGAAGAGACAAACACGTTTGAGGACATACCGCGTTTGAGCGGACAAGCTGGCGAAGCAGGTTTAATTAGTGACGGTGATTCTAATTTAATTTTTAAGCAGGTTTTCATTAGTTCTTGATTCGAAATTTGTTGCCTTCCCCCTCACGGTATCCTTTTTACTCGCTGATTAGTGATTACATTGTCATTTTCCCCTTCCCTGAGATGTGCTCCATAATTTCTAGCGTGGGCTCTAACTTATGAGGCACTTCCTCGATTCTTATTGTTAACTGTTTCTTGTCTATTTTTCTCTTCAAGGATGGTTCGAAAGATGTAAATGAAAGCAGTAAAAAATGAGCCGCAATCACTGCTCTCTACGGTAATATACCTTTTTTACAACTCAATTCCATTGAAGTTTGAATTGTAGTAAAACTTACTTAGATCAATTTCTAGACGCCTTAATTAGATTCTGTGTGAGAACATATTCTCTTTGCCATAAATGATGAAGAATAATATGGAGTATAACACAAATGGACCAGCACAATTTTTTTGTGTGTGATGTTGAAAGTGAAAGAAACAAAAAAATGATATGGTATGGGCTCCCGTAATGTCAATTTTTCTTTAAAAATATATGTTGGGGGTTCGCTGCTGGATTTTTTAATGTTTTAATCCAGTATCTTTATGTTTTATCAATAGCTTCTGTCGAAGTGTCAAATATTAATGATAAATGTGTGTATTATGCTTGTCTTGGTATTTTACTTTTTATGGTTGCTTCGTTTTTATTTATGTTTTGTACACTGAAATCTTAGAAAACATTTAGCTTCCAATTGAGTTTCTAATATTTTGAGTCATTTAATAATTCTTAGCAAGAATTTGTTAGTCTGTTCACGTTTATTGTTATTTGTAAAGTTATACTATGCTAACTTAAAAAGTATGGCCATATTATTTTGCTTCTTGCCTTTAGTTATAGCTCTAGCTGGTATTATGTTAATCATACACGGCAAACTAAATATTCCTCTTTGATATGGCATACAGGGGTATGAGTTTCATATTTCTAGTACCTTAACTACTTTTAGATGGGCTGCACTCTATACTTGACTTGGCCTTTTCTATCATCAAATAGTATATTATAGCCAGATTTAGTTATTCCACTTGTAGAATATATAAGTATCTGCATCCAGTATTTTATATTTTCCAAGAGATAGAGTGCAAAGTACATATTTTTGTAATAGAGATCTTTCATAAACGTCTATAGGGAGCTAGTTAGCTATTATGTCAAAATATAATCACTCTTTTATACTTGCTTATGGAAACCTGATTTAAAGTAAATTGACGAATGATGAATGTAACATGAAGCATAAATTTGGATGCAGCAATGGTTTATGAGGCTTTGGGGGTGTTTGGTTGCTAGCTTATCAGCTATTTTTTGGCTGTTTTGACTATTAAATGGCTTTTTGACCATTTCAAACTGCTATTTAGGTGTTTGGTGAATCAGCCTCTTCTATTAGCTTTTCATCTCAATCAGCCAAAAACCAAAACTCCAATTTTCCTAGCGTTTTCATTTGGCCGTTTGAGTTTATTTATTAAAATACGGATTTGGCCTTGTTTTTAAATCATACTCCGTACGTAACTCTTGCACAAAAATCAAAGATCCTTTGTAAATCAAAGAAAAACACAGTCTTGTGGGTTGTTTAATAATATCAATTCAACAATTTTGTTAGAAATTCTTTTAATATATAAAATACATTACTAAATGTACTTCGTATAAGTGATGACATTAAATTTAGCAAGAAATGAATAAATACATTACAATTAAACTTATTTGTCCTTAATATTTTTAAAACTTGGGACCCCATAAATCTGGGGGTCTGCTCCGGATAACCTATTGAACCCCTAAAAAACGGTAACATTAATATTTAAATACATTTTTCATTTTTTACACAACTTTTCTTGGTATAATCCTATTAAGTCTTGAAAACAATGTTTAAAATACTTATTACTTGTGTTAATACATTTTTATATATTTTTTGAAATCATAAATAGGGTTTAAGTAGTTGTACTAATTAAATTAATAAAAAAATTGATGTCCTTAAAAGTCATTTAACAAATTATCAGCTAATTATAAGCAGTCATTTAACCAAACACCATCTTACAAACTGCTAATCCTACCAGCTGATCAAAACAACCAACAGAACCTGCTGTCATCAATCAGCTAACACAATCAGCCAACAGCTAACAGTCAACGGCCATTTGCCAAACACCTCCTTTATTCTTTTAGTGGGTTGTCATAATGAACCCTATGTTTCTCCAAGTGTTATATTATGTATTAGTTACTGCATGTGAAATAAGTATGAAGCAAGATATGGCCCTGTTTGTTTTTTGGCGGATTGGGAGTAAACCGCTGCAA